GTGGAAGTTGCATGACCTTTGATGACCTGGCTTTAGAAGTCACACCATTTCGCTTCCACCATACTTTATTGGTTGAAGCAGTCATGAGTACACGTCAAGCAGATGTGACATAGTTTCTACCTCTTTGGAGTGAGTGTCAAATAACTTGCAGCTTTATTTATTGCCTCAAGAACCAAAGCCAGGTTTTGAGGATAGAGGCAGGATTCTAGAGCTGAAGGATGACTAGGAATTAGCTCACAGAGAGAGGGGAAAAGGATAGGTGGAGTTTTGCAAAGGTCCCCAAGATGAAAGAGGCCATGGATTGTTTAGGAAAGTGAAAGTGGTGAAGCAGGGTTTGTAAGGAGAATGGAGAAAGAATTTGCACTGAACAAATGCATGAGATGATGATACCGAATTCAAAATCTGGCGATGTTTGAGTTCAGGATCTGGCACATAAAAGATGTTCAATAAATAAGAATGAATGAACAAATGAATGAAAGAATAAGCAGAGTGAAAAGAGAAGATGGTCTAACATAATGCTTTCAGACTTCTTTTTTTTTTTTTTTTTGAGATGGAGTCTCACTCTGCACTCATTGCCCAGGCTATAGTGCAGTGGTGCAATCTCGGCTCACTGCAATCTCTGCCTCCTGGGTTCAAGCTATTCTCCTGCCTCAGCCTCCCAAGTAGCTGGGATTACAGGTACCCAACACCATGCCCAGCTAATTTTTTTGTATTTTTAGTAGAGACGGGGTTTTGCCATGTTGTCCAGGCTGGTTTCGAACTCCTTACATCAAGTGATCCACCCTCCTCGGCCTCCCAAAGTGCTGGCATTACAGGCGTAAGCCACTGTGCCTGGCCTGGACTTTCTTTAACAGAAACCTTAGGAAGAAATACCTGTTGTATTTTTTATGTGTGTAGTTGTGATAGATTACATCACAGCCTAATACACAAAAGCACATACACACACTTAAATGTGTTAAAGTTTCAAGAAATAATATTAACCTGTATTATGGGTAATACACTCTGACATCCAATCTGTTCTCTTCAGTTCTATTTCATTATTTTCAAAATGCGGGTCATAATTCACGGAATTGGTTCAAGGCTCACCAAGGCTTTGAGACTCACAGTTTGAAAGACAGTAGTCTAAAAGAAAGAGCAAAGCTTAGAGACATGAGGGTCAAGTTAATGATTCCATTCCTTGTGATTTGAGCAAGACACACTTACCTACTTAGTTCCATAATATGTATTTCACAAAGTTGTTTTGAGGTAAGCAAAAGATGCAAAAATGTCACTGAAATCTACAGAGCATAAAGCATAAAAGTGTCCTTTATTTTCTATCTTTCTTTTTTTAACATCCTGCAGATGTGACTTTCTGTGAGAATCACGATTTTCAAGCAGGGGATGGGGCTAGGGTGTCTCCAGGAACTGGATGTGGGGAGAGCGGACAGCCAGTTATTCTCTTCACCTGTCAGGCCAATTCCTCACCCTTCTCTTCCTCTCCCCTTCTCTGTGGATTGCATCACCCAATCTGCTTGATCTTTGGCTTCCATTTCTATTTGACCACTGGGTGGCACCAGCGGGAAATCAAAGGACAGGAAGAAAAAGACACTGGAGTGCTAAGCCCTCTGTTTCCTCCTCACCGGGCCACATCTTGGCAGTGGCTGCACTCTAATATGACCACAGCTCCTGCCTTCCCAATTCTGTAACATCAACCCCTACCCCAGCTTCATCAGGCCTGGAGAAGCACCAGCGCCACTGTGGCTAAACCTGGAGAGCTTCATACTCCCACTCCTCTCAGTAAATAACCTCATCACTAAACCCTTTTCCATGAGACCCTCTGAGAGTGCCAGATGTCCCCTATGTGATCTGACTGACCCAAGAGGTCACATGAAAATACCTTTGTATTTGTGGACATGGGAACCAAAAGAGAGAATCAACAGGCTGGGGTGACATTATCATTGGGCATTCTAGACCTTCGAAAGTGTGTTTATCCTTCAGGTCATCCTACACTGACTATGATGTCAAAGCCAAAGGTTAAGTCCTGCTTCTCTCAAAACTCCCAAATCTCTCCCACCTCTGAACTATTACCTAAAATTCCTTTAACCAAAGACCAAGTGTTTAACTGGGTAAACAGGTAAACAGACATTAAAAACTTTTAAATATGAACTTCTTCCAGAGGAAACCCATTGAAGTGAACATGTTCTGGTTTTAGTTGGGGTTAAACCTCTCGTCTCGGTGCTTTTGCTCCCTGAATGATCATGACCTTGAGAAGGATGTGTGTGTGTGTTGGGGGGGGGGGTGGGTGCTGTGGGGCAAGGGATAAGAAGAGACACTGTGATGTTGTGATATAATAAGAAATACATATATTGGTCTTTCTTTCCTGGCACACAGCTCCTAAAACCCTTGGAATCTGGGAAGAAATAAGGGTTTATTTGTGTGCTAAGGAGGTGACTGATGGCTGGGAGCTCCTGGGTTGCTTCGGGATGGGGGCTAGTTGGATGGGAACCAACCACGTGATTAGAGGGCTTTCAGCCCCATCCCCAGACCTCGGAGGAGGAGAGAGTGGCTAAAGGTTGACATGATCATCAACGGCCAGTGATTTAACCAGTCATGTCTAAGTGATGAAGCCTCTATAAAAACCCAAAAGGACAGGATTCTGAGAGTTTACAGGTTGCTGAAACATGTGGAGGTGGTGGAGGGTGGTGCATCCAGAGAGGGCATGGGAGAGCTGTGCCCCTACCTCTATGACTTGTCCCATGCATCTCTTCCATCTGGCTGGTCCTGAGATGTATCTGTTGGGACTCACAAAACAGTGCCCCAAAGTATGGTGTTTTGGCCTGCTGAGTGCTTTGAACTACCGGAGAATCTCTCTGACCTCCTGATCCCTTGCCTCTCACCTCTCATTCCCTCCCAAGGCCCTCTTGAAGCACAAGGAGATGTTTTCTCTGCAATTTCCCATATCTGACTAAGGGAAGTAACTTCAGAATGAATGTAGTTGCTGTGAACCTCCTCCCTGATATCTTCATTAACCAGAGAAGATTAATTCACACAGCAGGAGAGGAGACTAGAGGACTCAACTCCCAGGACACAAGGCCTGGACAGACTTTTCACCTATTCTTCTGAGGGCGGCTACCTGCGAGATTTTATCTGCACAATAAGACAATCTTTATTCACAATGCAGTCTCTCCCCTCACCCTCCGATAGCTTTTCACCACCACCCTCCAGGAACCTCCAAGTTCGATTTCTCTGTAGTTCAAACTGCTATTTAAGCTTCAAGTATCTCGCCCTTTTTTGAATCTCATACTTTGAGATTCTCCCATGCATTATAAATTTGCATGCCTTTTCTCCTGTTCATTTATCTATTGTCAGTTGATTTTCATAGATTCAACTTATCAAACCTTCAGAGAACAGAGGAGAAGTTTAAAACTCCCCTACAAGTCCTTTTATAATAAATGGGTAATACTAAGTCAATCACTTTCCTGAGTTCTGTGAGCAGTGGTAGCAAATGATCAAACTTCAGGAGGGGGTCATGGGGATCTCTGATTTATAGCCAGTAGGTCAGAAACACAGGTAACAGGCCAGGCACTGTGGCTCATGCCTGTAATTCCAGCACTTTGGGAGGCCAAGGTGGGTGATTCACGAGATCAGGAGTTCAAGACCAACCTGGCCAAGAGACCAGGCTGGCCAATATGGTGAAACCCCATCTCTACTAAAAATACAAAAATTAGCTGGGCATGGTGGCATGTGCCTGTAATCCCAGCTACTCGGGAGGCTGAGGAAGGAGAATTGCTTGAACCAGGGAGGTGGATGTTGCAGTGAGCTGAGATTGTGCCATTGCACTCCAGTCTGGGCAACAGAGCAAGACTCTGTCTCAAAAAGGAGAGAGAGAGAGAGAGAGAAAGGAGAGAGAGAGAGAGAGAGAGAGAGAGAGAGAGAGAGAGAGAGAAAGAAAAGAAAGAAAGAAAGAAAGAAAGAAAGAAAGAAAGAAAGAAAGAAAGAAAGAAAGAAAAGAAAGTGGGAGAGAGAGGAAAGAGGAGAGAAAAAGAAGGAAGGAAGGAAGAAGGAAGGAAGGGAAGGAAGGAAGGAAGGAGGGAGGGAGGGAGGGAGGGAGGGAGAGAGAGAGAGAGAGAGAGAAAGAAAGAGAAAGAAAGAAAGAAAAGAAAGGAAAGAAAGAAAGAAAGAAAGAAAGAAAGAAAGAAAGAAAGAGAGAGAAAGAGAGAGAAAGAAAGAAAGAGAAAGAAAGAAAGAGAAAGAAAGGAAGGAGGGAGGGAGGAGGGAAGGAGGGAGGGAGGAAGAAAGAAAAAGAAAGAAAGAAAGAGAGAGAGAGAAAGAAAGAAAGGGGAGGGAGGGAGGGAAGGAAGGAAGGAACGAAGGAAGCACAGGTAACAACTTGGACTTGTGTCTGAAGTGAGGGCAGTCTTGTGGGACTGAGCCCCTAACCTGTGGGATCTGACACTGTTTCCAGGTGGACATCATCCTTTCTCTTTTTTTTTTTTTCTCTTTTGAGCCAGGGTCTTGCTCTGTCACCCAGGCTGGAGTGCATTGGCACCATCATAGCTCACTGCAGCCTCAACTCCCCAGGTTCAAGCGATTCTGCCACCTTAGCCTCCCAAGTAGCTGGGGCCACAGGTGCACATCATCACACCCGGCTAATTTTTTAAAAATTTTTTGTAGAAACAGGATCTTGCTATGTTGCCCAGGCTGGTCTTGTACTCCTGGGCTTAAGCAATTCTCCCACCTCAGCCTCCTGAAGTGCTGGGATTATGGGCTTGAGCCACCATGCCCAGTCAATAGCATCAAATTGAGTTACATTGTATGACAATTAAGTCAGTGTCTTCCACAAAGTGGAGAATTGCATGGTGTGGAGGGAAAGCCCATACATTTTGGTGACCAGAATTGCGACAGTATAGGAGAGGAAAAGTTGTTTTTTCCCAGCAAGCATTGATGACACAAAGATATCAAAGCGAAACTAGACTCTGGGAAGACAACCAGACGATGATACAATTCTGCCTCCTACCCAGGTAATCTTCTCATCTGTGAGGATATGGAACTCCAACCTCTTCCTGGACACCTGATGATCCCCTTGTGATGGGCTCAGAGTCTTGAAACAGAACTATGAGCTCATCTCATACCCCAATCCAGCAGCATGGAAACCTCAGACTGTAAGGCCCAAGACTGGCACTTCTTCTTTCCCAACACTTTTCTTTCTCTCCTTTCTTTTCTCCCTAATTCCTTCTTCCTTCCTTCCAGGATTTATACTGTTAGCTTTTAGGCAAAACATCCTGAATATGTAGAATAAACTAATTAAAATCAAGTCAATTTCCCAGCTGTTATTTGTTAAGCCTATGCAAGATCTCAAATTTTAGTTATTTGCATACCTACTATGCAATTTTTTCTATTCTGTGGGCCACCAATATTCTTTTCTCTAAGTCAACTAATTCTTTAACTTAAACCCTGTTTAAGCTTCATCCTGGCTGGTTGTGGTGTCTCACGCCTATGATCCCAGCGCTTTGGGAGGCCAAGGCGGGTGGATCACTTGAGCTCAGGAGTTCAAGACCAATCTAGCCAACATGGTGAAACCTCGTCTTTACTAAAAACACAAAAATTAGCCAAGTATGATGGCATGCCCCTGTAATCCCAGCTACTCAGGAGACTGAGGTGGGAGGATCACTTGAACCTGGGAGGCAGAGGTTGCAGTGAGTTGAGATCGCCCCACTGTACTCTCAGCCTGGGCAACACAGCAAGTCTCCGTCTTTAAAAAAAACAAAACAAAACCCTTCATCCTAAATACAACACATCAGTAAAATAACAGATTTGGTTAACTTGTATTTTTTCTTATTACACATTAAAATAAGTATATTAAATATATTTCTAAAACGTATAATGCTGTGAATATATAAAAAGAAAAATATTTGTTGTGTGCTACTTAAAATCACCTCACTTATCACAGATGGTGCATATGCCACACTTTAGAATTTTTTAGGAGTACAGGCACAATCCTTGCTGTCACAGAGCTTTACATCTGGTAACAGATAAAGGGAGAGGAAGATTTCACAGCAGATAGATACATGGTGAAAAGGCAGACTATAGTTAAATCCCAAAGCGTGAGGCCAAGACAGGAAAGAAAATGAGAGATCAGAAAAATAGAGACGCCAGTGGGGGAGAGAAGGGCTGACAGGCTAGGAAGGATGAATCCATGCTAAATGTATTGATGTAGAGGTTACATTTAAATCTCCAAAGCCTCCCCAAAGCTACAGCACAAATGGCCAATTTCTCAGCACATCTGCCCCCTCATGATTGACCTCTGACCATCCTTGCGGGCTAATCTCCCAGCATGTTCCTAGACAGTCTCTTTTGCAAACTGCTTATTCTTCCCGAAATTCACCATCTTCTCCCTCCACAGTACATCCACTCACATTCCTCCCTTTACCTAGAAAACTCTCCAACACTTCTGTCTTTTTTGGCCAATTTTTTTATTATTATTATTATTAATAATTATTTTTTTAGTAGAGATGGGGTCTCATTATGTTGCCCAGGCTGACTTCAAACTCCTACCCTCAAGAGATCCTCCCACCTTGGCATCCCAGTGTGCTGGGATTACAGGAATAAGCCACTGCACCCAGCCCTTATGGCCAATTTCTTTTTTCTTTTTTTCTTTTTTTTTTTGAGACTGGGTTTTGCTCTTGTTGCCCAGGCTGGAGTACAATGGTGCGATTTTGGCTCACTGCAATCTCCGCCTCCCGGGTTCAAGCAATTCTCCTGCCTTGGCCTCCCAAGAAGCTGAGATTACAGGCATGCACCACCACGCCTAGCTAATTTTTGTATTTTTAGTAGAGACAGGGTTTCTCCTTGTTGGTCAGGCTGGCCTTGAACTCCCGACCTCAGGTGATCCACTTGCCTCAGCCTCCCAAAGTGCTGAGATTACAGGTGTGAGCCACCATGCTCAGCCTGGCCAATTTCTTTTCTTTTCTTTTCTTTTCTTTTCTTTTCTTTTTTTTTTTTTTTTTTTTTGACAGGTTCTCTGTCACCCAGGCTGGAGTGCAGTGGCATGATCTTAGCTCACTGGAGTGTTGACCTCCCAGGCTCAAGCGATCCTCCTGTCTTAGCCATCCAAGTAGCTGGGACTACAGGCATGCACCACCAAGTCTGGCTAATTTTTAAATTTTTTTGGAGAGATAAGGTCTCACTGTGTTGCCCAGGCTGGTCTCTAATTCCTGGACCCAATCAATCCTTCCACGTTGGCCTCGCAAAGTGCTAGGATTATAGGCATGAGCCACCGTGCCTGGTCCTTTTGGCCAATTTATTTTAAACTCAGTTCAACTATCCCATTTTCTCTGATGACTGCTTGTCAGATTTCACAGCACTCTTTTGCAAATGAAGAAATGTTGCTTCCTCTGGCTGGTCCAATGGATGGAGAGCCTCAGTACTTGGTGAGCAAATGGCACCTTGTGTAAATAGAAACGCAATGTTTCCCGTGGATGTTTGCAGCTCTATGCTAGGGCCCATGAGCTAGGTTTCTGCCCTTCTGGCCTGGCGCCTGTGTGCAGTGCACACCCTGTGCAACATTACTGGCAGACCTGCCTTGTCTACACAAACTCACGCAGAGTTAGCTTCATTCCCTCCTCATGTTTATTGATTTATTCATATTCCACCAATAAACAGTCAACAGATTGAAAGGTCTTCATCTATCTATCTCGGAACCTTTGGCAACTAATAGAGGATCTATAAACTGGTGCAGAATGAATATTTGCTAGACAAATGATGATCAATCAGTGAATATATGTTGAAATGGTTCAGAAAGTCATAGGCACTGGGAAACTTTGCAGAAAGAGAATGAATTCAAACTAGAATGAATTTTAACTCAGCACCTAACCACATTGCCCAATACACAAATTGTACTAACTTCTTATATGATGTGGGCAGAAAATATCTCCAAGTGGCCACAGGGTGCAATGAGCAATGACAAACCTTCATCTGGACAGAAACATGATCTGCCTCCCTTATCCCAAAGACTAACCCTGCTTAGGGAAGAAACCATGCCTGTCTTGTTTCACGCTGTGCCACTAGAGCCCACTTAATAGTACTTGTTCAACAAATATCGGTTGAATAAGTAAGTTAGAGTATAAACTCCTTGCCTACCTCGTTTCGTATATACATATGTATATGTGTGCATATATATATGTATGCATGTGTGTGTATATATATGTGTGTATATATATATATATTTTTTAAGGAGTCTCACTTTGTCGCCCAGGCTGGAGTGCAATGGCACGATCTTGGCTCACTGCAAGCTCTGCACTCCAGGTTCACGCCATTCTCCTGCCTCAGCCTCTGGAGTAGCTGGAATTACAGGCACCTGCCACCACGCCCGGCTAATTTTTTGTATTTTTAGTAGAGACGGGGTTTCGCAGTGTTAGCCAGGATAGTCTCGATCTTCTGACATGATCTGCCCGCCTTGGCCTCCCAAAGTGTTGGGATTACAGGCATGAGCCATTGCGCCCAGCCATATATTTTTAAATGATGGGTGGAAGGGTGTGGGCTTAGTAGACCTAACACTCCGATAAAAGCACAGTGAACGTAATGGTTCAGATGTGCAAAAAAAGGGGAGAGGTATTTTGTCACCCTAACTGTTCACATCACATTCTTAAGTCCCATTCCTGTTGACTGTGGAAAAGAAACTTAAACTTGAAAATTAAAGATAATTCAATTTCTTCTAATTTAAAACAGACCCTTTGGGTCTAACTCAGTCTCCTCTGAATAAATGTTCACTTGGTTCAGGCCAGGTGCAGTGGCTTATGCCTGTAATCCCAGCACTTTCAGAGGACGAGGCAGGTGGATCGCCCGAGGTCAGGAGTTCGAGACCAGCCTGGCCAAGATAGTGAAACTCCGTCTCTACTAAAAATACAAAAAATTAGTTGGGCATGGTGGCAGGCACCTGTAATCTCAGCTACTTGGGAGGCTGAGGCAGAATTGCTTGAACCCGGGAGGTGGAGGTTGCAGTGAACCCAGATCATGCCATTGCACTCCAGCCTGGACAACAAAAGCAAAACTCTGTCTCAAAAAAAAAAAAAAAAAAAAAAAAAAGTCACTTGGTTCAACTATCAAATTTATTCTCAGGGCTATTTCTCTTCTCCAAAAGGTCCCCCTTGAGTACAAGGGAAAAGCTCATACATCTTCATAATGGCCATGGTCTCTTCAGGTCCCTGATATGGTGTGGTTGGTCTACTCTTGTCCCTGCAGGTCCTGCATAGGTCCTCACTGAGGTATAGCTGGTTCCACCTGGTTATCTTGAGTATGGTGTGGCCCCAACTGCTGCAGACCCATTCTGACCCCAGACTCTTCTTCATGCCTCTACCCCAGCATCTAAGAACTTACAAATACCCTGCACACAATCCCTGGTTTCTCAGGCCTATCACCTGAGTACCTCACTTAGACATTTTCAAATTACCCCCTGAGGATTCCATGAAGTCCCAGCTCCGGGCTAGATGCAGGGCTACTCAGGCTGACAATTTCCCAAGTTATCCCTCAGAAACAAGGGCTAAGCCCTGTCACAGTAGGATGCCACACACCCATCTGTACTTTATTTACTGCCCCTTGCTCATCTCCTGCTCCACTGGGGAGTGCAGATTCTCTCCCATGGAATCTGTAGCTTTTCTAGTTTTCTCACTTTTCTCATATTCCTTGCCTGTCCTCTGCCCCCACAAGGCTGGAAGGGACTTTTCTTATAGCATATCCTGAGTCTCTATCTTTGGTTTCTCATAAAATACTCTGTTCAGATCACCAATTCAAATGCATTCCCCTTCTGCTCTCGATATGTAAAAGAGGCTTTCGTAATTTGTAAATCCTTATTTTCTCTTCACAAAGCCTGGATTTCAAGACTATTGTTTCATTATGGAATTCAAAAACCTGTTTTAAAGTCAACGCTGAAGACTGATTCTTTCTTTTTGGAATCCTGCTAAGATGCTTCTGGCTGAATATGAGAAGGCCCTATTCAAAGACTTTCATACATTTCAACAAGTAGAATCTCTGTTACATCAGCAAATTTGACTGTCCAAACCATAAAACCTTCACCGTCTGCTCCCTCCTGGAACTCTTGCTGGGAGGAGAAAAGTTCAGGTGACCCAAACCCCTGTACAGATAGGATTGAAACAAATAGCTCTTCAGCCAGCCTGGACTCCAGCCTCCACTGCTGGCTGGTCCGTGATTAATCAGGGGTTCTCATGAGTATGATCCAAAGATGTGGAGATTAGAGCCAGCTATTGGTAGATACTAGTCCCACAATGTCAAGTAGAGTGACGGCCAAAGTCAGCATCA